CCAGTCTCAACCCTGATCCCTTAGCCCTGATCTTCGGAGCCCTCACAGCAGCCCCTAGTTTTCTCTTTAGCTTTTTGGCCAGAATGGAGTAAAAGCAGAGCAGCCCCTAGAGTGAGGTTCTTGGCCTCACCTCTGCAACAGCATTTCCTTCCTGATGGTCTGCTTGACACTAAAGGTCTCCCTGGGGAAATGTTCTTCAATGCTGTCCAGATCTGCCTCTGTGTACTGGTCAGGGAAACTGCCTGAGGATGCCAAAGCCAGCAGACGATGAAGGGTCGTAAGATCCACACCCTTGGGCACCAGCAGGGCCACTGGCTGGCCTAACAGGCCAGCATGCCAGCTGGCCTCCCGTAGACACTGGAGAATGGCCTCTTCTGGCTCACAGGGCAGATGGAAGAGGCGGGCCTGACAAATGTTAGCTGCCAGAGTGATGGCAGTACAGCGCCCAGTGCCCAGAGCCCCTGAGAGCAGTAGGCCATGCTGCCGGGGCCTGGCCAGCACTCGGACCAGGCGGGCCACGTGCTGGGCCATTGAGCGGCACCGGGCAAGGTGGGGGCTCAGCTGTAGCTGAGCAGCCGAGATGGCCAGCTGCTCCCCCAGGCTGTCCCACTGGCGTTCCAGGTACAAGTTGGGGCCCTCAGAGTTGGAACCTAATATCAACTCTTGACTGAAGACCAGGTCTGAGGGCTTTTCCTGTGGACGAAGTAGCAGCACTGGTAGCAACAGGGGTGAAACCAGATTCACCTGGGATGCCTTCTGCCACCAACTCTCAGCTCTCTTTAAGTTGAGCTGATAGCTGGAGGCCACTGTGCCTTCCTCCTGGTTTATCTTTTGACTTATGCTCTCTGTAGTTTTCTTGACTGGTGCAAGATCTGAATATTTGGAGGGTGGGTCTGTGGTGACCTGAAGGCCATAAGCGTCCTCCTCCGTTTCACTGCCGCTGTTGCTGAAGTCCTCCCACTGGGTCAACTCCCCCTCAGACTCCACTTCAGGCACCCTCTCCTCCTCCTCCTCCACCTCCTCTTCCTCCTCTTGATCTTCCTCCCCCTCCCCCTCCTCATCATGGCCTTTGCCCAGGGTCTGGGGCAC